AGAGCCTGCTATAGTCTGAAATCCTAGCCCAGATTAAACAAACAGGTCAAACAGTAAAAAAGACAAAAGAACTGGTATTTGCACTTCTCCCTACAATGAGAATTTCCCAAAACTGAGCAAATTCAATATGCCAAATGATATAAATCAAATTACTATTGAATTTTTTAATTAAGATTCAAAGTGAGATGTAGGTCAATCCTACAAACCTTCCTCCAGACTCATTAAATTCTTTCCCATTTTGATACTAGAATACAGACTTAATCAGTCTGAGTGATTACTATGTCTGTATCAGTTTTAAACTGTGCATTCTCACTTAGCTAGCAAAGGCCAACTGGGAATTTTGAACAAAATCACAACTACTAGATCATTAATCCTCAAGTGAAAAATAACAGAAAACAATTATTACAACACTGTTCTGGGAGTTGCTTCCTATTATTGACAGTTTTGTAAACAAAAGCTTATTTCTAGTTTACCTTTTCTTACTGGACTCAAAGAAGTAGAACAACTCAATCACTAATGGTGCATTTAAAAAACCAAACCCATAAAGTCTAGTCCTTTCCCCTTTCAAACAGCTGTAAGTGACAGAGCTGGAATCAACACGGAAATGCTGAGTTTCAAAGCATCACCACATTACATGGTTGTTTTACTTCCTTTTAAAAAAGGATACTTTTTGATTTTTTAAGTTGCAATTCTTGCAATTTAAGCAATAATGCAAAAGCTTATGACCCTCTTTTAGACTAGGCAGTTAAGTCAGATGTTTTTACCGTGATGTTTCTTTAACACAAGGATGCCTGTAAGGATTTTCAGTTTTGGAACGAGGTGACTTCAAGAGGTTCATACAGATATTGTTCCTGTGCAGTTTGTATATTTAAGGGAGAAACCAACCTCATCAACTTCCTCTTAATTTATCAAAACAGCAATTGCTGCTACAACATCTGGACCAGGATTCTTTCTATGCTTTATGTTGATCAGGGTTGCAGGCAGAAGAAATCCTCCTAGTTTTTTTATCATACTGAAGCAGTCTGCAGTGCAAACAAATCCACTACAAGGCAGCAGAGGCTTCATATTCTGATCTAGAACTGAGGCTTAGACTTTTTATTAAAATCTATGTCATAAAGATGGCTTTATTCACCAGTTCACTTGGTCCCATGAGATATGAGTGATTTCATCAAGTCTCATGAATAAACACTCTACATTTCAACATGTTCTTCAATGACCATCAGCATGACCACACAGAGACAGATTCTCCAAGAACCTTTTCTAAGTATCCGAACTAGACAAACCTGCTTACAACATCTTTTAGAGGTGATGCACCCAGTATTGTCGAAATCTCCTCACTCCTGCTCACGCACAATTACCATCTCATTTTTAAGGAAAAGGAAAGAACCCCTGCTCCCAGCCCTAAGCAAAAAAGCCAGCTCTCACCTGGAACTGCTCCTAGGAGGAAAGAGGCAAATCATTCCATCACAATGGTCAGCAAAGCTCAACTACTTGTGGCTTTTTATAAGGGCTCACTGAGATGAAAGCACAAATCTAACTGGGAAATACCATCTCCACAGGTCTAGGTAAGATATCCCTGCTTGCTGCAGGAGGGCTGGACTAGACCCTTAAAGGTCACTTCCAACACAAACAATTCTAAGATACCGTGTGTATGGCATACACTTACACCTTGGTGTGCTCTACATAAACCCAATTATTATCTTTTATTCATTCACAGATTGTTAGATATTATAGTTCACTATAGTTCACCTGAATTGATTTTAAAAACCACCACAACTGTAAACTCAGTGTCCATCAGTAAAATCCTATTTTGGATTTGGCCAAAAATAGCACAAGGGAAAGCTACTAAGAATGAAAAAGAAGGCAAAGCACTGCAATTGCTGTTCTCTGATTAGAGATGGGGAGCTCCCATTTTGATCCTCCATTTCCTGACACACTGAAGTTGAAACAGTTCTAACATCTGGCCTGTGGTTTCAAAAAGCAAAAAGACAAAAAGCCCAGGCAACCTATTTTGCCCAGCTAGTATCAAAACCAGTACCAAGACATGACACACACTGAGAAAATCCTCTGTATAATATCCTGCAAGAAAAATTTCAAGTGGTCTCTCAAAACAAGAATTCAACAGTGCATCTATGGGAGCCCCCACAAAGGCCCTTCCAGCAATATCACCAAATAACTTAATTAGGCAAAAGGAGAGTCCCTGAATTTTTTTTCTGGCTTTCGGTAGTTCAACACAGAATCAGCTGCACTTTAAAAACAGCAGTATTTTTTTTTTAATTCAAAAGTTAGAAATTTATTACTTGAAAGGAACATTAAGAAGTTCCATCATTGTCATGCTCACTTAAAAAAGATTATCTTCCAATGATGAAAGTCATGCAAGATCAGAATCAACATTACATCCTTTTGTCATACATCTTGAGGTCAGAATCAAACACTCACTGATAATATAGACAATGCTCTTCAAAAAAAAAGTACAATCAGTTTTAGGTGTCAGTTAAGGAAAATCCCAGAATTTTCAAGCACTTTTAAAACTGATTTGCATTATGCAAATGAAAATAGAATTTAAGCCTAAACTATTATCAGAATAGCATTTCATAAAGAAAACACATGTTAAAATAGCTGTGATTTAGTATTTAATTTGAAAATACACAATTATTTTTAAAGAGGGATATTGCAGTATGTAGTGGGTTCTATTGGCAGGTATATTTCAGGTATAGCAAATAAAATATAAAAGAAAATTTGGTTTAAAAGTATTTTCAAGTAAACTTTTCCTTTCAGTATAGAAGGAGCACATAAAATTTCTTGCTACTCAATTACTGCATATCTTAGATGTGCCTTCCTGCATCTAAGCCTTATTTACATATTCAAAGTAAGGACAAAGATTCTAAAGTGGAAGAAAGCATTTTTGCTGAACAAATGCAGATTCCCAATAAATAAGAAACTTTTGGAGACAACTTTACGTGATATACTTAACAATGCATACCTGAAAAATTCAAAGTTGAGACAAGCTTTCGGCAAAAAAAATTTGTCATCTTGCTTGAACCATAGTTTGCTCATAGCAGTGTCCTGTGTCAAGAAAAGAGGTTTTATTAAGTCATCTGACTTTTAACTGCAATATATGCCACACCTTAAAAAAAGCCTCTTCACCACTTCCAATTGCCACTTAGAATTATTCCCTTAAATTCAAATTGCTTGAACTGCTATGTTCAATACATATAGTGAATATAGATATATTCAATATATTGAATATATATTCACTATATTTTGAGATGAGTAAATGACACTTCTCTCATTTTTCCATGCAATCACAGGCATTTTCTGTATGCAGTTACAAAACAATAGCCTTCCCTACACCCTCGACTTACTCAACAGTAGTCAAAAAAAATGGAAGAGTGGCAGTCACCCTTCTGCTGAATAAACAGCTCTATTGCTATTTTTATCAACTGCTGACACACTTTCAAAAGGGCGGATAGAGTTCAAGCTGTATCTAGACTCACTTTCCTAGGAACAAGAATTGCCACAGTCCAAAGTTCAGCAAGAATGAACTTTCTACTGTCTTTGTCGCCAAATATTCAAGTTTTGTACTTTTTTGTTTTCTATCCTTTGGAATATGAGATGATCTGTATTTTATGAAACAGAGGAATTAAATTCTAACTTCCCAGAAGGTTAGGCAGCAAACAGGACAAATGACAGTTTACCTTGACAAGGGCAGGGTACTGTGTTGCATCTTTTTCCAATGGCAAAATCTCAAAGTTTGTAGGAATAAACTCGTTCTTCATTGGAAGCTTGAATTTCCCATTCAGGTCAGCATTTTGCCATTTCTAGATCAAGAGGAGAAACAATGAAGCTATGCCATTTTCTGCTTAATTAAAGCATATATGGGCTTATTTTATGCTAATACAAAAGATGTAAAAATGTATTCCAGTACCTTCTGTGTAAATATTATTAAGCTAACAGGGAAAGAGAGAAATACCTGGGAAAAAAAAGTTGGAGCAGGCTATCAGCAGGATGAATTGCTCTTAGAAGGAGGATGACAGATAAATAATTTTGAAAAGTTTATAGTAGAGAGGAGGGTGGGTTTATATCTTATATTTTCTGCCACTGTGAACTGTACATTAGGATATTAAACTAAACATTTAACCAAGAATTCTAATTAAGAACACAGGTATGGTCAAGCTCAAGGAAGTGTTCCTATGAATGTCAGTTCAGAGCACACTCAGAAGGTCCAATTCAACCCTAAGTAATTAAGAACACAGGTATGGTCAAGCTCAAGGAAGTGTTCCTATGCAATGTCAGTTCAGAGCACACTCAGGTCCAATTCAACCCTAAAGTAAATTTTACAGCCATCTCTTCATAGAAGATCAGAACAATGACAAGTTTCATCAACGATTTGCCCATCTCTTTTTTTTTTTTTGAGTTTTGATTTTTACAGTCTCATTTAACTGGCAAAACATACTTGCTTTCTATGCTGCAAAAATCAACTTCAGAAGCAGTTACATAGAACAGTTTTTAAAAATTCCTTTTTTAAGTACTGATCAGTTCATTAATATATAATAGAGAGTTTTAAGTTTTTAGAAGTTAATGCTTACATTTTTTCTCAGCCACTGCATATTAGGGATCTTCTACAGAAAAAACTGTAACAATTCCTGCACTTAACATGGTTTATAACCATTAAAATACATCCCACCTATATAATGAATATTTGAAATCTAAAGACTAATATAATATTCTTACTTCCTTTAACATTAAACAGGCTCACTGTATGATTTTCATGCTATGAAAAGCAGTGGATTCAAGTTCCCCCTTCAACTATATGGAAAATTGGACAAAGAATTTACCACTGACTTTCATTTGCAGATATTAGAATGTTACAAATTTTAACATGCCTTAATAACTTCATCAGAAATTGCTTCTTGCTTGTACTGTGTTCCATACCACTCTTCCGTTCGATCTGTTTTTCCTTCAAAGGACTTGGAAACTATTGCAACTCTGAAAACAAAGAGACACTTTGGCATGAATGTGTCTGAGAAAAGACTGAGACTTCATTTCAAGCACTGTTTCTGCTTCATCACCTGAATACCTTTATTTCTGCAAACACTCCATAGACAATTACAGTGTAGAAGAGCATGTGTAAGTATACAGAACTACATGCTAAGGTTAACCTGAAATGAAATCAGGTTACCACAGTCATTTAATGCCACTGTTTTTCTGAAGTGTTACAACCCGGGGTTACACACCAGTAGTGCTGCATGCAATTTCTATTTTTAAGATTCTTGTTGTTCCAGAAAACCAAGCAGTTCTTGCAGTCTTCTAGAAAATTGATGAAGCAATTACATTTTCTATACCACCTGTATGAACATCAAAATATGTGAAAATACCGATTATAGACATTTTATTCCAGTTCTAGTGTCACAGAATTGTAGATAATCTCACATTGAAAGGGGCTCATAAGGATCATCTCATACTCAACTCCCTGCAGGACTACCTAAAACTAAACCATGTGACTGAGAGCATCATCCAGATGCTGCCTGAACTAAAGAACACACCTAAAAAAGAAATCCAGATTAAAGAAAATTGCAACATATCAGTATTTTGTTAGTAGCCGACATGATAGGTATCAAGAAAATTCCTTTAATTCTACTGAACAATGTATCAATGGAAGTAGCTAACTTCAAGAGTAAATAGATGTTTCTAAGAAATTTGAAATGGTCAAAAAAGGTAGCACAACTACCTGCTCTCCTGGACATGGCTAAATACCTGCCTGCCCTTGGGAAGAAACATGGATTCCTTGTTTTGCTCTTTTTTTCTTTTGCTTTCCCTATTGAACTGTCTGTATCTCAATTCACAAGTTTTCCAGCTTTTACCCTTGCAATTCTCTCCTGGAACCCACTGGCAGGTGGGTGAGCAAGTGGCTGTGTGGGGCTTGGCTGCTGGCTGGGGTTAAATCCCAACACAGATACAAAGTTGCTAAGAGACTACAAAAACTATCAAGTCTCAGAATTTTAGAGCAACCTACCTATCAGATCTTTTTGCACAGTAAATAATTCCCTATTGAACTGTCTATATCTCAATTCACGAGTTTTCCAGCTTTTACCCTTGCAATTCTCTCCTGGAACCCACTGGCAGGTGGGTGAGCAAGTGGCTGTGTGGGGCTTGGCTGCTGGCTGGGGTTAAATCACAACACAGGTACAAAGTTGCTAAGAGACTACAAAAACTATCAAGTCTCAGAATTTTAGAGCAACCTACCTATCAGATCTTTTTGTACAGTAAATAAGTAATAATAAGAAGAAAAAGAAGTAAGAGTCCTAAGTGGAAAAATTATTCTAATAAAATGCCAATAATCATATGGCTAGAGCAGCAAGACAAAGATGTTTAATGCTAGAATACACTGTTTGAATATGTCTGTTATTCAACATTTCCTCCTCCTACCCTTCTCCAACATACTGACGCTCAAGCAGTAGTGATAATCCAAGCAGCCAAACATTTCTTACAGGAGCATACTAAAATTCAAGAGCTAAAAATAATTGTCTACTCAGTACAGAAAACAAAATTGTGGAAACCAACATTGTAATTCTTCAAGCAGTTCTGCTTCAACAGATCCTTCTCTTTATGCCAAGTCACTACTGGAATGATTACTGACATTTTGAGTTGTTAGAAACATACCCACAACAACAGAAACAAATCAAAAGGCATTTTGTCTGCCCAAGAATTACAACTTAAGACCAACAGGAAAGAAGATCAGGACACAAAAAGAGGGGAAGAGAAGCACAGCAGGTAGAAATGCTATTCCATGCAGGTATTTCAATATATTATAATCCATCTCTAAAGTCACCAATTATGTAACATTAGTTTTGCTATTAATTTCTCTGTTGTGCTGTGTAGCACTATGAACATCCGTATGTTTCAGGACAGTGTGGAAATGCACTGGGAAATCAAGACAGGCAATCAGGTAATCTTCATAGGATCTGTTTAAGTATATTTAGGCTTGAGCCATTCATGGATATGGAACACAAACTATAAATGCTATTTACTTCTCTAGATACATTCCTGTACATGCAAACTGCTGTAGTACCCAATTTCAGAAACAACCAGTTTCTATAATGTGATGCATATTTACTAAATACTATCCTGTTTTTCACCCTCCTGAAATCTAAATTGAAGCTACAGGTGAGAAATCCACAGGACAATGTTACTTGGGAAGAGAATGTGTGCTTTAAAATGAATGTACTTCCACAAAATATTATCAACTATTATACTCCAGATTTATGTAATGAAACTCAAGGTTCTGAAGTTGGAAAAGTAATAGAATACTTAGTATTTGTGACATTAGTAACAAATGTGTCAAAGCAAACCTATTCTTACAAAGGATTGACTTTTTTTGGACCTAATTTAAACTTTGTCTTCCAAATTGTGATACTGTCAAACAATGGAAGAAATTACTTCTCTCTAATTCAAATCTATAACACAACATGACTGAGATAAAAATAACAAAAATCTACATTTGTCCGTAAGTTTCCTCACAACCATCAGTAAAACTGATGTGAGGCAACTCATGCTACTCAAAGGCCCTCACATATCAATCATCAATCCCCTCAGAAACCAGAGCTGCTGCTGGGGTACAGCACTCTGATCACTGCAGAAGCACAAGTTTTTCCTTAGTGTTCAGTAAAACTAAGCTGCTGCCAAGGATTTGTGGGGAGGAATGAGAGAACAAATTGTGATTTTCAAAATGGATGCTGAGACCCAATGCAATTAAAAACAAACAGATACATTTCTAGCATGTTTACCTTCAGGGTGAGCATCACCAAGTGCACTGAGATAACTTTGCTGAGTCTGTCAAATTCCAGTAGTTAGAAATTTCTCTATCAACACTTTTGGCTTTCATTTTATTTTTCTTCCCTCTAGGACAGTACTAGTGCTGCACTTCTGCTATCAATAGAGGAAAAAAAAACCCACTTACTATCCAGGGGAAAATGTTCTTTAGCTACTTAATCTGGTGAGTCACTATCTTCTTAAATTTTAATAAGAGTATTTATTCTGCAGATGCTGAAGGGAAAAAATGCCTTGGAAATGATAGGAAAATTACATTTTTCAGCTAAGATTGCTACACATGCCAAGTCTATTCCCTTACCTTCACAGATGGCTGGTAAAACCCAATACAGTTTGAACAAGTAAAAATAATACTTACATTTTCAAGTTTCTCTCTTAGGGAAATTAAGGCACTAAATACAACAAGTAGTGTGTGGAGGTGGGAAAAGAATATGAACACTTTCTGTTCTGGATCAGTCAAATGGAAGCATATGTATACTTATATGCATACCATCTGTGAGAATGATTTTTTTTCATATTTTTTAAACTCAAAATTTGTTAAGAAAATAATAGTTGAAAAACTATACTTTTAAAAAGACACAATGCAGTTACTACAACATAGCTATACCAAGAGGTCCTTAATATAGGTGAATAAAAAATAAATTATAAATAAAACCACAATACAAAGAAAAAATTCCAATCAGTGCCAACTAAAGCACCTCAAGACAGAATGTATGCAAGACATAAAACAAAAAAATAACAATAAAAACAGGAAAACAATACCAGACAACAGGCAAAGTTAGGATGTGGCACATAATTCTTTCATAAAAAGGAAGAACAGAAAGGTAAACATGAGCATACATATGAGTAAATGGTGGATAACCAAACCATACAGACATTGAAAGCAGATGGCACAGGGTTTTTTTTAGCATATAAAATTGCTTAAAAAAAGACAAAACAAGGGAGCAGGCTGCTGTAATTCATTATATTCATATAGATACAGATGTGATTTTTAAAAATGTAACATAAGGGGACCCTTTTATTAACATCTGTAATCTCAATTCATTCTTTTAAGAGAGCCCACTAAAAACAAAATCCACAGTGGCTTTCTTGAATCTTCGTAATGTACCATTAAATCACTTTTAGTAATACTTAAGTAAATTTCCCCTTCCCAAGATAATATATCTTGCCAGCAATGTAAACTAAAAGATACTATAAAATTATATTCCCTGCTATATTTTACTATACTTTGAAGGATCTTAGTTAAAAAAAAAAATTTAAAAATTGCAGTTCAGTTCATTCTACTTCTAATTTCACAGGATAAGTACTTAAAATGTATCTAAAAGGAATACAGTACTATATACGAGTTAGTATTTTCTTGCAGTCAAATGAAAGTAGGAAAGTCTGATAAGACAATATATAATTTCTTTAACAGTTAACTGAAGAAGCCATAAAAACAGGTTTATTCTAGTTCTGAAAGTCCTTTTTTTCTCCCAATACTTTTAGCACCTTTTTTATACAAAAGTTTAAAATGACACAGTTCTTCATCTATTAAATGACATCTATTTCTTAAGTCAAGTAAAGTGAAGAGACAACATAATTAGTCCTGAAGAAGATTAAACATAACATACAGCACCAAAAAGCACCAGCTGGAAGAAAGCAAGGTGAGACACATGACATTTGAAGCCCACAATTACAGAGACTCACAGGAGTTACTGATCAGTGACCATTTCTGAAACACCTATCTCCATTATCTGAAGGATCAAACTATTATTAGCTGCTTAACATACTAAAGTTCATCTTCAGTTCATATTTCTTCTAGATATGTTCCATCTTGAAAAAAAAAACTAGTTTTTTTAAAAATTAATCCACAATTACCAAGCGTAGAGAAAATGTCCATTTACCACAAGTCACTTTGTCAAATGGGAGAAGACTGATGTAGCCCTACAAAACTGCTGTAGGAAATACATACCATAGTAAGCTGTTATCTTCTTTGCTTACTATGTTTCAAGCATGTTACACCTAAATTCTGTATCTTTTTAGAATTACATTTCCTCTCTAATTAGATTCTTGCTCATCTTGAGCTTTACTTATCTGACCCCTGCCTCATTTCAGCAATGGACAAAGAGGAGTGCAGAACTGCAAAGTGCAGATATGGGCCTACATTACCAACAGCAAAAGAACATTGTGAAATAGGCATTTGCTGTGTCACTGAAAAAAACACACCACATTCTTCTAAACACCATTGCCACTATTCTTATGCTTCTGGCCACATTCTATAGACTTGAATTATCTCCCTTTAGTGGTATTCTCTACACTCTCCTTTCTCACACTAATAACTTGAACTAGGTTCATTATGGCTGTCTTAGCTGAAGTACTGACAGCTGGAAAGAAGTCAAAAGACTGGCCCAGCCAGCAACAGGAGTAACACAGAAAGGTGGTGAGTGGTCTGTAGCACACAACAGCATCTGACCAAGTAAAGAACTATGAATGTAGGTACCTGTACTAATTTCCTCCAGCAATTTTTCAGTGTTTAAGTAAGAAGATGCTTTGGAAGTTCTCTGGGTAGTAACAAAGACCCAATTTACATTATGAATCAGATAATATTGATTATTTTCTTGCAATGTTAAGAGCTACACTTCAAAGCTATGTGAAGCTATAATAAACATCAGATCTCATTAACACCTGCAGCTTCTTTACTAGATCAGCATCAGCTCAGGTTCGTAATTGTAATTTGTAAGCAATTCTAAAACTAGTTAAAACTAGTTAAGAGTTCACATTCATGTGGAATTTGGTTAAGCTTATCTACAGAGAGCAAGTAATTACACATTTTCTATGTTAATTACTGAAAACAGTGTTTATATGTTAAGAGGTATCAAATTTTCAAGAACTTGGGTGGCACAGTAACATGAAAATACATTCAAAATAGAGAAGTATTAAATACTTTGGGAAAGAGAACTGGAGATTTTCATTAAAGTATTGTTTGTTCAAAAGATGATCTTTTGACATAGTCAAGCTTCAGCTGAAGTATCCCACACACATTACACACAGATGCACACCTACACACAAAGATACAGACCCCTCTTCAAAGGGCATTAATTACTATGGCAACTACTGTTGCTGATGTAGGCAACTCCATTTGTTTTATCATTACTTGCATATCCCCAGAAACACCAGAACCCCATGACATTTGCAAATATAGTTTATAATTCAAGTTTATCTGACTTTATCCAGTAATTATTTGAAATACATCAACCTTTGAAAATAAATTAGCATATATCTAAGACCTTCTCATACAAAGAAACATAGTGAAGATTTTTCAATCACATTTACTTTAGAGCTGCAAGAGACACCTAAGATTTTGTGTTTCCATTAGTTCACCTGCTCTCTTATGATGTTTGTGTTAAAATACAGTTTAACTCACCGAACATTTTCTGGTCTCAATTTATCCAGCACCATCTCTATTAAATCAGGCCTGAATTCTTCAAGCAAATATTCAGCAGCCAATACTTCTTCTATAGGGTAATACTAAAAAACAAAGCCAAGGAATATGTATGAAACAAAACTAAGCATGAAAAAGCTACAGTTCAGTAGAGAAAACAAAAGCAAACACTCCCAGTCACTAAAGCTGTACTACCTTGGTAATTCCAAATTAAGAATGTGTAGAATGTTTTAAGATCTCCCTCAAAACTAAATAAGAGGGAGTAGCACTCTAACTATGCAATTATATTTCTCAAGTATTAGGCAATTTACGTAATTTATATTTACCATTCTTCTCTCAGAATATTTAATGTCTCAATATAAAAGCCACCCACCTTTAAATAGTATTTTGATTAAAGTAAAAATAACATGGTAAATGCTGACCCCTGCAGGATATTTCTCAATATAAAAGAAGACCAAGTACTCATGAGATTGCATTTAGGGAAAACAAAACATAAATAAGCGAAATAAAACAAACACAAAACCTAGGCATTTTTAGGACTCTTGAACAGTTCGATTCTTATTTATAATAATTTAAAGCAAATTATATTTCAATATCTAAAAGTATAATAAGAATTTAAACACTTAATTCTAACATTTTTTATTTAGGGCCAAATTGAAAATCTCTTAAGGTACATGGCAACTTAAGAAGAAGAAAAAAAAGGCAAAACTCATCTGAAAATTATTAATGTGGTTGACAGGAAAATTTTCTTGATAAACACCTGCTTACCAAGGGAAAATGACCACGTGACTAAGTGCTGAGTACTTGCACTTTGCCACACCAGTGTACTTTTTTCAACCAGAATTATTACAAAATGGCTTTCTGAATTATATATTATGCAAAAAATTACAGTAGAATGGCTTCCAGAGCAGAGAGTAAGTCATAAAAAGGATTCTGGAAAACAAAAAGGGTGGTGGAGGGTGGAGATCAAGGACAATGAACCAAACCTGTGTTATTAAAAATTCAAGTGTGAATGCTAAAGATTCAGAATCTTGATGGTCATTTAACTACTAAAGCAGAACAAAAATTACCATTCACACTGCAAAGCAAAAGAAAGACAGTTTAAAAAAAAAAAGTCCTGATTCAATACCCTGCTCTTTGGAACACTGCTGGCAACTTCCTGGCCTGATTTTTGGAGACAGCAATTGTAATCAGAAATAATCCAACAAATACTGAAAGACTGTTTCAGAAGTCGGAAGTCCATTTGTTAGATATTTTAGGCATTGACAGAACAAAAAGCAACAAACAGCACGCCACACAGGAGCTCTTTAAATATCCATTTACATGTTTTCAGCCAAGTCTAACACTTTTTAGCACACAGATAGAAAATCTGAAAATTAAACAACATTATTTTAGACTTTACAGATTAAAGGTCTACAACCAGTACCAGTAATTCCTGCAAAAAAACCAAAAGTTTCTCTGAAAAGATGGAGACATTAGCTATGCAATGAAGAACGGCTGAAATGTATAAAAGCTGTATAATTTCACTAGAACAAAAAAAACTCAGCAACCCCCCCTAAATCTTCCATTAGCACAAAATGAGGGAATTTTGCAAGAAGTATTAAAGACCAAGTAAAAGCTACATGATGATTCTTTCAGTACTAATATGCAATCACTTCTCTGAAGTCAAGCATTTGCAATTCGCAATCTTAATACAAACATTTCTGCTTATTGCAGTATTTCAACACTGTGAACTAAGGAACACG